GACAGGGTCCTCCACAGAGACACCTGACAGGGACCCCACAGAGAGAGATATCACAGGGACCCTCCACAGAAACCCTCGGGAATCCTTAAGGGCCCTCACAGAAATCTCTGAAAGGGCCCCACAGAGATCTCTATCAAAAACTTCTACAGAAACTTCTGAGAAGGGCCTGACAGAGACTTCTGAAAGGGATTTGAAAGAAATCTTTGATGAGGACTCTACAAAAACCTCTGACAGAAACTTCACAGAGACCTTTAAAAGGGACCCCATAAAGACCTCTCAGAGGGACACAACAGAGACTTCTGACAGGGACCACCACAGAAACCTCTGATGGGGACCCCACAGAGAACTCTGACAGGAATCTTTACAGAAACCTTTGACAAGAACCCCTACAGAACTCTGACAGGAATCTTTACAGAAACCTTTGACAAGAACCCCTGTGACAGGGCCCTCCAGAGAGACTTCTTATAGGGCCCCTTCTGAGACCTTTGAAAGAGATTTTTAAGAGACCTCTGAAAGGGACCTCCACAGAGACTTCTTATAGGGACCTTAACAGAGACCTCTGAGAGGGACCTTCAAAGACACCCCTAATATTGAACTCCACAGAGACCTCTGACAGGGACCCTTCAGAAACCTCTGAAAGCCAACCTCATTTGAATAGGTGAGAAACCTTAACAGAGACCTGTGACAAGGACTCCCCATGAAGCCCTCTGACAGAGACCCTCACAGAAACCTCTGACAGAGACCTCACAAAAAGTATTATAGGTACTTCCAACATAAACTCTGACTGGGACGCCATAGACACTTCCAACAGGGACTCCACAAGAGACTCCTGACAGGAATTTCCAGAAAGTATCTGACGGGTACCCCTCCCAAAGGAATCTCTGCACAGAAACATGCAACAGGAACCCCCAGAAAAATTTCTGACAAGAACCCTCATAGAAACATCTGACAGGGCTTCTCACAGAACTCTGACATGAACCCCCTCACAGAGACCTCTGACTGGACCCCACTGAGGCCACTGACGGGGACCTTAAAGAAACCTGTGACAAGGACCCACACAGAAACCTATGGCAGGGACCTTAACAGCGACCATTTACAAGAACCCTCACTGAAACTGCTCACAGGAATTCCCACAGAGACTCCTGATAGGGACTTCTCACAGACTACTAACAGTTTCCCCTACAGAAATCTCTGAGGGATTTCTGTAGAGACCTCTGATAGGAATATCACAGAGATCTCTGACGAGGACCCCACAGCTACCTCTTAGAAGGACATCCACAGAAACTTCCAAAAGGGACCACCATGGAAGTTTCTGACAGAGACCCCAAGAGAAACTCATGGTAGAGACTTCCAAATTCTCTGACTCAGATCCCCAGAGACCTCTGACAGGGACCTTCACAGAAACTTCTGAGAGGGACCCAAACAGAGGCCTCTGGCAGGGACCTCTTCATAAACCTCTAACAGGTATGTTTACAGAGTCACAGAGATTTCGGACAGGGACCTCTACAGAGACCCCTGAGAGGAAATTTCAAAGAGACCCCTAACAGGGATCTCCATAGAAACCTCCAACAGGGTTCCTACGGAGACCTCTGACAGGAACCCTAAAAGATACCTCTTATAAGGACCTCACTGAGATATCTGACATGGACTTTCAGAGAGAACTCTGAGCAGTGACCCCACAGAAACCTCGCATGGATTTCACACAAAACTTTGAAAGACTCCACAGAGACTTCTGATTGGAATCGCCACAGAAACCTATACAAGGAACCCCACGCAAACTAAGTCTAAGGTCTCCACAGAGACCTCTCACAGGGACCCCAGAGAGACCTTGAACAAGGACCTCTAGAGACATATCTGACAGGGATCTTACAGAGAATTCTGACAGGCACCCCACAGAAACCTTTGACAAGGACCTTTACAAAGGTCTCTGCTTGCCGGGCTCAGTGGCTCAGCCTGTAATCCCGCAGCTTGGGAGGCTGAGGTGAGTGGATTGCCTGAGCCCATGGGTTCAAGACCCGCCTGGGCAACTTGGCGAGACCTCATCTCTACAATAAATCAAAAATTAGCTGGACCTGTAGTTCCAGCTACTCAGAAGGCTGAGGCAGAAGGATCGCTGGAGCCCAGCAGGTCAAGCCTGCAGTGGCTGGGAGTGGCCACTACACTCCAGTCTGGGCAATGGAGTGAGACTCCAACTCAAAAAAAAAAAAAAAAAAAGAAAGGTCTCTGTCTGAGATTTCCAAAGAGACCAGTGACAGGTACCCCAAGAGAGCCCTGTGACAGAAGCCCAACAGAGACTTCTAATAGGAACCATTATAGAAACCTCTGACAGAAACATTTACAGAGACCTCTGAAAGCAGCACCAAGAGAGATTTCTGACAAGGACCTTCACAAACACCCTTAAAAGAGAACTCCACAGACACCTCTGGCAGGGACTCCCATGGAGACTCTGACAAGAACTTCCACAGAGACCTCTGACAGGCACCCCACAAAGTCTCTGACTTGGATTTAACAGAGGCCTCTGGCAGGAACCTCTGTAGAGACCTCTTTCAGGGACCTTCACAGAGACCTCTGAAAGAGATTTCAAAGACATCGTTGACAAAGACCCCACAGAGACCTCTGAGAGCGAGTCATACAGGAACCTCTGACAGGGACCCAGACAGAAATGTCTTCGAGGGACCTCTACAGAAACCTCTGACAGGGATCCCACAGAGACCTCTGACAGGAGTGCCCTAGAGACCTCTGATGAGAACTCCACAGAAAACTCTGAGAGGGACCTCCACAGAAACTTCTGATAGGAAACTCCACAGATAGTTTTGATAGAGACTGTAAAAGAAACTTCTAACAGGAATCCCCACAAAAACCTCTGACAGAAACCTCTACAGAAACTATTGACAGATACCCTTACAGAGGCCTCTGACAGGGACCTTTACAGAAATATCTGATAGGGTCTATCACAGACACCTCCAACAGACCAACTGGATCCCACAGAGACCTCAACAACTGACAGGGGTAGCCACAAAACTTAATATGGGGACCTCAACAGAGATCTGAATCCACAGAATCCACTGACAGACACTTGCACAGAAACCTCTACCAGGGATCCTTACAGAAGCCTCCAACAGGGCCCCTCACAAAAATTTCTGATAGGGACCCCTAGAACATTGTCTGGCAGGGACCACTGCAGAGACCACTGCAGAACCCCTACAAAGATCTCCGATAGGGACCATAGAAACCAATGACAGACACCCACAGAATCATCTGACAGGGACCCCTTCAGGACCCTTCATGAGACATCTGACCGGGATCCCCACAAAAATCCCTGATAGAGTTTCCCACAGAAATCTCTTCATGAACCTCCATAGAATCCTTTGACAGGGACCTCTAAATTGATCCCTAACAGGAACCTAAACAAAGATATCTGACAGGGACACCTTTTGACGGAAACTTTTGACGGAAGTTCAAAAATAGAGACTTTTGACGGAAACTTCAAAGATTCCTTGACAGGCCTCCTTGTTGAGATTTCTGACAGGAAACCCAGAGTCTTCTGAGAGGGATTTCACAGAAACCTTTGACCAGAAGCTGACAGAGACCTCTGACAGGAAACTCCACGGTAACCTATTTCAGCAACCCCACACTAACCTTTCACCGGGACCTTCACTGAGACCCCTGACAAGACCTGCGTAGAAACCTTTGACATGGACCTTTCAGAAATCCCTGACAAGGACTTCCACAGAATTCTCTAACAGGAATCTCCACAGAAAGCTCTTACAGGTTCCTGAGAATCCTCTGTCAGGGATCTCAAACAACCTCTGAAAGGGACCCCCACAGAAACCTCTGACAGGTATCACTCGTAGATGCACTTCCAGGGACCCCACAGAAACCGCTGAGAGGACCCCTAGAGAGATCCCTGATGGGGACTCACACAGGGACCTCTTGCAGGGATCCTCAGAGAAACCTCTGACAAGGATTCGCCCAGAAGCCACCAACCACTAACAGGGTCCCCACAGAAACCTCTGAAAGGGACCTCCACAGAAATCTCTTATAGGGACCTGCATGGAGATCTCTGTCAGGGACCCCACAGACACCTCTGGCAGGGATTCCACAGGAGACGCTGATAGAACCCCCACAGAAACCTCTGACAGGGGCTCCAAAACTGATGCCTGACAGGTACCCCACAGAGACCTCTGACTGGGTCCCTCACAGAAACCTGTAAGAAGGACTTCCACAGAAACATTTGACAGAGACTCTCAGGATCCACCGAGATGCCTGTCAGGGACCAAGCAGGTCTGACAGAAAATCCACAGAAACCTCAGACAGGGACCTTCACAGAAACTACTGAAAGGGACCCAACAGAGACTTCTTACAGGAACCCTTACAGAAATCTCTTACTGGGACCTGTAGATAGACCTCCAATAGTGCCTTCCACAGATACCTCTGACAGGGAACCCTAACGAGGACTTCAACAAACCCCTCAGAAGCTCCTTACCGGCACCCTTCGCCAAAAAATTTAACAGGAACCTTCAGAGACACTTCTGAGAGGGACCTGGCCAGAGATCTCAAACAAGGACCCCTATCGAAACCTTGATAGGACTCCTAACAGACCTCTCCGACAGGGACTTCCCCAGAAACCTCTTACAGAGGAGCCTCCACAGGGTTTTCTGGAAGGGATGCCACAGATACCTCTGACACGGATTCCATAGAAATCAGTAAGGGACACCTACAAAGACCTCTGACGGAAAACGCCTCAGAAACCTCTACCAAGCACTTCCACAGAAACTTCTGACAGGGACCCACAGACACCTCTACAGTGTCCCCAGAGAGACTCCTGAGAGAGACTTCCATAGAGCTCTCTCACATAGGCTTCCTAGAGACCGCTGACAGATTTCTTCACAAAGGTCTAAGACAGGGTCCCCACAGAAGCCTCTGACAGGGACCCCACTGAAACTACTGAAAACCCTAACAGAGACTTCCTACAGGGACCCTTATAGAAACTTTTGACCATGAGCATTGCAGTGACCTCTGGACAAGGATCCCCACGGAAGCCTCTCACAGAGACCTCCATAGAGACTAGTGAGAGAAACCCCACAGAAACCTCCAACAGGAACTCTTACAGATATATCTGACAAGGAACTCTCTCAGAGACCTCTGGCTGGGGGCTCCACGGGAACCTCTGACAGGCACCAACATAGAAAATTCTGACAGGGACCTTCACAGAGACACCAAACTGAGACCTGTACAGAAACCTCTGACAGGAGCCCCGCAAAAGATCTGACAAAGATCCCACTGAGACCTCTGGCAGGATTATCTACAGAAACTTCAGACAGGCACATCCACAGAGTTTTCTGAAAAGGATCCATCAGAGATCTCTGACAGGGACCTCTTTAGAAATATATGACAGGGACCACATGGAGACCTCTAACAGGAGCCTAGAGAGACCTCTTATAGTGACCCCCAAGCAGACAATAGACAGTGACCTTCACAGAGACGTATGGCAGGGAAACAAATAGAAAGCTCTGGCGGGCAGCCCCACAAAAACTTCTACCAGGGACCCTTACAGAGACCTTTAACGTGGTTCTTCACAAAGACTTCTGACAGTGATCCCCACATAATTGTCTGACAGGAGTCCCCACAGAGACTTCTGATAGGGATCCCCAACTGAAATCTCTGACAAAGACCCAGACATTATCTTTGACGTGAACATCCACAAAAACCTCTAACAAGGACTTTAAAGACATCTGTGACAGGGACCCTCCACAGACACCTTTGAAAGGAACCCTTGCAGAGACCTCTGACCTGAAGATTCACAGAATCCTCTGACAGAGACTTCCAAAGAGACCTCGAACAAGGACCTAAACAGGAAACTCCGAAAGGGACCACCTCTGAGCTTTCTGACAGGGACCCCACAGAGACTTTTTACAGGGCCCTCAGAGAGACCCCTGAGAAGTATCTCCCAAATACCTCTAACAGGGGTCTCTCCACAGAGATCTCTGACAGGAGCCTCCTCAGAGACCTCTGAAAGGGATCCCACCCCAGAGACCTCTAACTGAAACCTCCAAAAGAGACCTCTGATAGGCACCTTTACAGAGAATTCTGGCAAGGAACCCACAGTGTCTTCTGAGAGGGACTTCACAAAACCTCTGACATTGACCTAGCAGAGATCTCTGATAGTAATCTCTACAGCATCCTCTTTCAGGAACCCCACATGATTTCTCATAGGGGCTTTCACTGAGATCCCTGGGGTCCCTGTAAGAGGTCTCTGTGCAGTTTCCTGTCAAGGACCTGTGGCGGTCCCTGTCAGAGGTCTTTATGTAGTTTCTGTAAGTGGTCTTTCTATGGGTTCCAGACAGAAGTCTCTCTGAGGGTCCCTTTCAGAGATTTCAGGCCCTACAGAGACTTCTGACATGCACACCACAGAGCCCTCCACAAGACCTCTGACAAGGGACCTTCACAGAGACCTCTGATAGACACCTACACAGAGATCTCTGACGGTATCTTCAGGGACTCACCTATCAGAGACCCCATAGAAACTTTTGACAGGAATCCTTACAAAACTTCTGACAGGAACCTTTAGAGAGACCTCTGTCCAAAACTTCAACAGGGACCTCTGACAGCCACCCCAACAGAAGCCTCTGAAAGGGACTCTCACAAATATCTCTGACAGTAGTTCACAGAGACTTATGACAGAAATCCTCACTGCAACCTCTGACAGTGATCCCCATGGAGACCTCTGACAAGAACACCGCAGAGACCTCTGACGAGGACCTCCACAGATATCTCTGACAGACCTCTGACAGTGACTCTCACAGACGCTTCTGACAGGGACCTCCACAAACACATCCAACAAGGACCTCAACGAGATTTCTGCCTGGAACTCTGCAGACATCTCTGACAAGGTCCCCAGTAGAGATCTGTGAAAAGAACCCCAATAGAGACCTCTCACAGTGACCCCTCAGTGATCACTGACAGGGACCCCACAGAGACCTGGGAATGTGACTTTACATAGACTTCTGCTAGCGATTTAATAGAAAGTTCTAGCAGTGACCTCCACAGAAAACTCTGAGGAGGACCCTGACAGAGACCTCTGAAAGAGAGCCCTATAGAAACCCCTGACATGGATGCCCAGAAACTCGTATGACAGGGACACCCACAGAGACCTCTCGCAAGGACCTCTCAGAGATCTCTGAGAAGGACCTATACAGAAACCTCTGACAAGGAGTCCACAGAGACCTCTGACAGGGCTCTCCAGAGAATCCTTTTAAAGGTATCCCTAGAAACCTCACACTGGTACCTCCACAGAGACCTCAGACAGGGCCCCTACATAAACCTCTGAGAGGATCCCCCAGAGAGACTCTGACAGAGGCCACACAGAGATCTCTTAGTGGCATCCTTACAGAAAGTCTGTGACAAAGATCTCCCCAGAAACCTCTGACAGGATTTCCAACAGAAACCTCTGACATGGACCTCCACAGTAACTTCTTATAGAAATCTCCACAGAGACTTCTGACAGGGACTCCCCAGGGAACTTTAATAAGGACCTCAACAAAAATCTTTGACAGTAACCTTCACAGACATCTCTAACAGGGACCTCCAAAGGAACCTCTGACAGTGGTCTTCACAAAAACTTCTGAAAGGCCTCCCCACAGAAAATTTTGACAAGTAACTCCACATAAACTTTAACAGTAACCTTTAAAGAGACCTCTGACAAGGACCTCCCACAAAGCCCTCTGACAAGGATCTGAAAAGATAATTTGGCCAAGTCATCAACAGAAACCTCTGAAAGAAACCCTATAGAAATCTCTGCCAGGAAACCCAGAGAAACCTCTGAAAGGGACTTCCACAGAAATATTGAACAGAAACCTCCAGAGACACCTCTTACAGGGACCCACATAAAATTCTATTATAGGGATCCCTACAGAAACCTCTGACAAGGGTCCCCAACAGAAACCTCTGACTGGTACTTCCATGGTAACTTGTTTCAGAGACCACCATGGAGACACCTGACAGGGACTGTGGCAGTTTAATCTTATGTGTCAACTTCAGTGGATTAAGGGCTCCTCAGATAGCTGAAAAACATTGTGTGTGGGTGTGTCTGGGAGGGTATTTACTGGATATATTAGCATTTGAATCAGTAGACTGAGTAGAAAAGATCCTCTCTCACCAATTTGGGCAGGCATCATTCAATATATTGGGGGTCCAAATAGAACAAAATGTGAAGGAAGGATAAATTATCTTTCTCTCTTTCTGAGCTGGACCATCTGTCTCCACTGAAGCTCCTGATTCTTGGGCCTTTGGTGACTGGGACTTACACCCTCAGCCCCGCTTGGTCTTCAGACTTCTGGCCTTAGACTGGCAGTTACACCAACTTCCTGGGTTCTCAGACATTTGGACATGAACTGGCTGACATGTGTTACAACACTGGCTTTATTTGTTCCCCAGCTTGTAGAAAACATATTGTGAGACTCCTACGTATCCATAATCACATGAGCCAATTCCCATAGTAAATCTCCGCTTGTAGACTTATCTATGTTTTCTGTGTACTGTTTCTCTGGAAAACCCTGACTTATACAGTGAGTCAGGGAGAAGGTACCCCTGGTGCAGAGACTTGGAAATGAATACGGTTGGTTGAGGTTGGAGAGGCAACCAGTGTAGCAGTAGCAAGCCTGGGAGGAAGGCAGGGTTAGATGATGGGGGCTGGTGGACTGTGTCATTATTTACTGCTCTCTGACAACATTACCTCAAAATTCAGTGGATCAAAACTCCAAACATGTGTCACTATATCTGTGGACCAGGAATCTGGTCATGGCTTATATAGACGTCTCCTTTTCAAGGTCTCTAATGAAGCTGGACTACGGTCGCAATTGAGACCCAAGAACGGGGGAGCATTTGCTCTCAAGCTCAACCAAGTTTGTTTTTGGCATAAATCTGTTTGGAACGAGGGCCTGAATATCTTTCTTTGTGTTGGTCAGGGCACTTCCTTCATTCTTTGTTTCATAGGCCTATAAGTAGGGAAGCCCAAAACATTGGAGCTTGCTTCCCCAGAGCAAGGAATATCAGAGAGTGAGAGAGAGAGGAAAGGAAAGAAGGAGGGAGAGAAGGAAAGAGGGAGGGAGGGAGGGAGAGAGAGAGAAAGAGAGAGAGAGAGAGAAGACAGAAGGAGATGGAGAGAAAGAGGGAAGGAGAGCTAATAAGTTTTGGGTGATTTGTTATGCAGCAATAGCTAATACATACGCCCAGTACAAACAGGATGCCAGGATCCCAGCGATTCCAGGATTGATTGATTACAAGTTACCTGTCAAACAGCAGGCACTCTGTAGATACTGATTTCCTTTTCCCCTTATTTAAAGTTAGATCTCTTTTTAAGTGGTGTTGAGTAATACACATGCATGTAGATATGCATGTGATGGTTAGGTAAACTTATACAATACCCCACACCACAGGAGGAAAGAGAGTCACATCCTGATCATTAAGTTCAAGACCAAGTTGCAAAATAAGAAGTTTGCCTTTAATCTACTCCCTTCATATAAACTCTGGAGGTCAAGGCTGTAGACAGATCTAAAGGCATGTGATCCTTCTTCTTGGGTTCCCACATTCTTTGTTCACTCTCTGATCTTTAGAAGGAGCATATGCCCCTGCCAAGCAGCAGATGGAAAACAGTGGTCTACCAGTGGACACATTCTGTTTGCAGCCCCCTGCTCCCTATCTGGGCACTGTCTCTTCCACCCTTAGTCCTGAGGAGAAATGGTGGCAGAATGAGGGTCACAGCTGCATTGTCAATGTAACAGCCATTGGCCACATGGGGCTGTTGAAAACCTGAAACGTGACTAGTCTGAATTGGTATGTGCTGAAAGTTTAAAAATACGGAGTGAGTTTGAAAGATTTAGCACCAAAAAATCTTCACTAATAACGTATTTATCACATATTTAAATTATAATATTTTTGATATCTTAGGTTCAATCAAATATGCAATACATTTTCACCCGTTTCTTTTCTTTTTTATGTTGTTACTAGAACATTTAAAAACACACGTGGATCACATTTTACTTCTATCTGACACTGCTTCCTTAAGGATTGCCTGCCTTCTTTTTCAAAACTCAGGTTGCCTGCTCAAAAGGCCAGAGGTCATGCAATCTGAAATTTTAAAACAAATTGTCATTATATAGTTTCCAATTTAAAGTATCATATATATTAATTATAAACGGGTATAACCTTACATACAAGGTTAACTGCGAATGTCTGCAGGCGGTGCCTGTTGCCAGAACAGGGAGAAAACAGCCGTAGCCCAAAACCTCCACTCTGGTCTTACTAAGCCCCGTTGCTGATCACATCGCCTGTCACTCAGGACACGAGGGGGCGGGGTCTGGATCCCTATGCAATCAGTGGTGATGCGGTGAAAACTGCCCAATCAGGCACGCAGCCAGAGAGGAAGGGGCGGCTTCCGGGATGTGGCGGGGCCTTTGTCTCTCACATCCGGGTGTCCGCTGCTTGGTCGGACTGTACTGCTCCCGGTCCTCTGCTGCTGGAGGCCCGGGTGGCTCTGCGGCAGCCTCTGTCGCCCCGTGACCTGAAGGTCCTGAGAGATCCGTGGGGAGGAGCCGGACACCCGAGAGCTGGGAAATGGTGAGTGCGGGGTGGGTGTCCAGAAAGGGGGAGGGGTGGTGAAACTGGCAGAAGTGGGTGGAGCGGGAGCGGCCTCCCAGTCAACCTGGGAGTCTGGACCCTGGTCCCCGCAGGGCAGCTCGGCCCGGGTCTCCACCAGCTCAGGGAGGGGCTGGGCCAGCACCGGGAGCCCCAGGTCCTGTCGCGTCCCCGCAGCGGCTGGCCGGGTCAGGGCCCTCCCTGGGCTGCTCCGTCCCCAGCCCCGCGTCTCCAGGAGTGCGGAGACCACGGGAGAGTCGTGCGGAGGATCCGACCCGTGTGCGGGGCTG